ATCCAGTCAGATCTCCGATCTCCATCTTCAATCTCCAATCTCCAACGTCGTCATCTTAGGCCGGATTCAGTCAGATCTCCGATCTCCATCTCCAATCTCCAATCTCCAATCTCGATTCGGGGACCCGGGGGAGGAGGGGGGCTCAAACCTTCAAGGAGATGCGCTATGGATTCATTCACACTGACCATCTCTCATCTCCAATCTCCAATCTTCTACTTGGCCCACTGTCGCCGCGCCGGCAGCAATCTACGACCTCCATTTTCAATCTTCGATCTCACATCTGGGGCGGATGGCTGGGCGCTAGGATCTACAATCTGCATTCTCCATCTCCTATCTCCACATTTTGGCCCGTGTTGCTGCTCAGCGATCTGCAATCCACAATCTCAATCTTCGATCTTTAGTCTTGAATGGGGAACCGGACTGGAGGGATCTACTGGCGAGACTTGGGCGTGTCCGTGTGAGAGATCCGCTAGGATCTCCAGTCTTAATCTACTATCTCTACCCCAACGATCTACTGGTCTTGCGTAGAGATGTCCATTACTCCGTTCTGCAGCCCGCCGCGAGCCTCTGGCGGGCTGCGGCGGCCGACTTGGCCGAAGATACGGCTGACTTTGCGGTCCCAGTGACACGGGTACCTACGGCGGCAGTACGGGCGCACGTCTGGGGTAGAGAGGCGGCGGTATAGGCAGGATTGAGAGTTGGAGGGGTTGTGTGAGGTGCCGGAGGGAGCGGCGGCCGTGGTGCAGGGGCGGCGATCTTGGCGGTGGCGTGGAGCGCGACGAGGGCGGTGTAAACGAGAGTGGCGGCAACGGTGGCGGCGGCTGGGGAGGCGGCGGCGGCAGCGGCGGCGAGAGTGGAGACGGCGGGGTGGCGGCGGTGGCGGGGGGGGTGGCGGGGTGACGGAGCGGGGCGGGCTGGAGGCGAGGGTGAGAGCGGAGGGTGACGTCATGCCGGAGGAAGGTGGCGGCGGCGGCGGGCGGGAGGCAGCGAGGAGTGTGAGGGCGAGGATGATGGCAGCGGCAGCGGTTCGAGCCGCGGCGGCGCGAGGGCGGCCAAAGGGCGTCCGTGGGGAGGGTCAGCTGTTTGGTTCGAAGCAGCACGAACGGCGACCAATTGAAGCCACTGTCGACGCTATTGGCCACTTGAACGTGTGCCTCGCGCCACCACACCTGTGCACGTGCAAAGAGCATCAGCTTGCCGCGGAAGAGCACCAGCGAGAGCCGGCCATCAAATTTGTAATCCATAGGGAGGCAGCATATGAGGCACCAGTCTTCTGGAGAGCTCAACAGATGCGGCCGCGATGGTAGAGTCGGCCGCGGTTCGAGCGAGCAGCTTTTGGCTGCGGGATCGAATCGCGGAAGGCTCATGCCCTCGCGGAGCGACGCGGGTCGCGCGGCGCGCGCGTGTGCATGCGACAACAGACGACAGACGACAGACGCCTGAGCGCTGAGCGACTGAACGACCGTCGCCGCAATCGCCACCGCCGCCATTTTGACGAGCAGCGCGAGCGCGCTCGTCGGCGGCCACGGGCCAGCCGTCGCGGGCCGGGCCGAGCTCGAGGGCCGAGCCCGGCCTCAACCGGCCGCACCGCCGCAGCAGGCCGGGAGGCCCGAATGGCGGCCGTTTAGCTGATAAGGAGGAGAGAGTGTTTCATGTGGCGTTTATATGATATACGGGGTGTGGACCCTGAGTTGACCAGGGGTTGTGCGCTGGGCCCTCCTGCTCGGCTCCAGCCAGTAGACAAGTCTTGTCATCAACAGAGTAGAAGGATCTGACCTCGGGGCCGATGTGACCAAGCGCTGGTAGCGTGGTTTAACCTCACACCCATGGTCTCACAGTGTGCCGGCAGTCGCCGAGCAGTGTCGCTCACACAAGCCGCAGCACAAGTGACTGAGGGCCAGTGAGGGCGAGCCCATCGCTGTCAGAGCTGTGGCAGCCGCACAGTAGGCTGTGCCAACTGTGCAGAGTGTGTGCGCAGCAGAGGAGCTGCTCTCCAGGCTTCAGGCGCAAAGAGATGCGTGCCACCGAAGGCGCTGTCGAGGTTCGCCGAGCGCGGCGCAGGTTGGAGGACACCGTCACCGACGAGCGCGTTGGACTTTTCACTCCGGACAAAGACGGCGACACGCACACGAGCTGCGGCCGTGTCGCCGTCATAGTGGCGAGGCGCGGGACCGTCTGTGGCGAAGTGGGTCGCGTCCTCCGATTTCCTCAACTCAGCGTCCGCTCCCTCCCTATCCACGACTCAATGCATACACTAGCCACACAGCTGTTGTGAGGGGCTGAGGGCCCGAGCTGTTCGGCCGATAGGCTACATACACCGCGCAAGCTAGCTAGACAAGCTCGCCCCCGCCGCCGCAAGAAGCCAGATTACGCTCGCCCGCGTCGGAGCGAGGTTTCAGGTGCCGAGAAAGCAAGAAGCCCAGACGTTTGGTGCCGCGGTACACGCACGGGGCTTGCGGGGTGTCGCCCATGCGCGTGGCCACGCCGGCCAACCACTCCATTCCCGCCGTGCAGTTCGTTCCCTTTCGCAGCGCGGGCCTGTACGTCGAGCTGTGCCCGCTGTGCAGGTGCCAGCCCATGCGCGCCGCGACGCCGGCGCTGGTGCCGTTGCGCTGCGCACCCATGCATCTGGCCAGCCACGTCACCTCCTCGCCGCGCTCAGCGAGCACGACCTCGCCGTGGGCGCCGCGGCCGAGCAGCCGCAGCTGCGCGGCGCGAAGGTACCAGCCGATGCAGACCGCCTCACTCACGCTCAGCGGCTCGCGACGCGCTTGCCTTGCGCTGGTCAGCATGTGCAGCGCGTCCGCCTCTGCAAGGACGTAGAACGGGGCGGAGGCACGCCGCGCGGTGCCGGTGGTGTCGAGCAGCTCGCGCTTGAGCTTGCACAGGCGATGAGCGCCGTCAACGAGGCGGTAGGGCAGCTTGCACGGATTCTGCGCGGTCCGCACAAGGATGCCGGGCGCGGACCAGGAGGTCATGGCGGAGGTGCACGCTGTCGCCGTGCGCTTTGCGCCGTGACAGGTCTGCTTGCGCGATTCGGACTCGCACGCGGCTTTCCACTGGTCGAGCTCCGAGCCGAGGCCCTTCTCCGCTGTCATGTTCTTGTGGCACACGTCGGCGACGCGCACGCTCTGTGGGCGCAGGCCCAGATGGGCGATGTGGTTCAGGATGTCGGGCAGCCGCAGGACGTGCGAATGCTGGCCGCCAAAGTCCCAGCCGTGGTCCGTCGCATGGAACGTCGCAGGCGAGAGCATCTCCTCCCAGGCGGGCGGCGCGCAGTGCGGAGGCATGATTTGCCACAGTTTTGGGGGGTACCTTTGCGAGCACGCCGTTCACGTAAACGCACAACCCCGGGCCCCGAAACGCCGTTCACGGGCGACAACAGGGCCCCGCTCTTTCCCTCGCATAGCGGCCACTCTTCGGATCGCTGGTCGAGCGACCCGGGGGATGCCCCGCGCGCCTGACCCAGGCGCGAAAACGAATCTGCGAGGCGTGGCCGCTCATGCGGCCCGATGGGGAGGAGCGGGGCGGACTACGGGGATCGGCTATTTGGCCTGCACAAGCTTTTCCGGCAAACAAAAAGGAAAACAGAGGGGCCCCAGCACTTTGCGTTTCCGGAAATTTCCAGGGAAAACAGAGGGTGTTTGGTGCTCCATTCTGGAAACTCGCGAGTTTCCCTGAGTCTGAGAGCTGGTCTGGGGCAAAATCTGAGGCAAAATTGAGGAAATCGGCACGATACCCAGGCGGTCGCAGGGTATTTTCCAGGTATACCCGGGGGTTTCCAGGTATACCCGCAAAATCCCCGGTATTTTGCCGATTTGGCTGATTTTGGGCCCAAACCAGCCTCAGACTCGGCTCAGAGCCCGGAAAATTTGATGGTTTCCCCGGGAAAACAGAGAGGAAAAAAGAGGTGCTGTAGAGAAAAAAGGAAAGGAAAAGAGACGGGGTGCGAGAGAGAGGAAAAGCTTGTTCAGCCTAAATCGGCTTCTTACACAGCCCTTCCCTGCAGCGAGCCCCCCTCCAATCCACCCGCGCTAGGTCTCGGGGGACGCAGGGGTCACTCCCGCGAAACCCGGGAACTAGCCGGGGCAGTCGGAGAAGCAAGGGGCAACTCCGTGCACTGACGGTCGGCCGTCAGAAATTACGCCTGCGTGGATCGCGTCAGTGTGTGTGTGTGTGTGTGTGTGTGTGTGTGTGTGTGTGTGTGTGTGTGTGTGTGTGTGTGTGTGTGTGTGTGTGTGTGTGTGTGTGTGTGTGTGTGTGTGCCGTTCATGGAGGCAACCGATGCGAGTCGACTGGTGTGTGTGAGTGTGTCGTCGTGGTTTCTATCAAGAATACTTACATGTTCGGCCGAGAGCAAACATCTGAGAGAGAGATCAACAGACAATCAAACGCAGCGAACATGGGTGGCCTTGCCGTTCTAAGGCCAGAAAATTCCAACTGTCTCATCAAGCGCACGTGTCCGTAACCGAAAGCGGAATTCATCACCGATCAAAAAGCTTGCAATGCTGCCACTGCTCGCACTGGCCTCTTCGTTGGTGCTCCCGACGGTGCGCTCCCCGACGGCGCGCTCGCCGCTCGCGACATCGCGGGCGGCGTCGCCTTTGATGTCTGGCGAACCGACGTTCTACGCTGTGTATCACACGTTCAAGCCTCGGGCCGCCAAGGCGTGGTGGGCCAACATGAAGTCTCTCAATTTTAAGGATGTCGCCAAGGCGCAGCACGCGGCGGGCATCTTCGGCCACGCCTTCCTCCCCTCCGAGCCCGAGGGACCCATCCTCTGCCTGTGGGAGTGCAAAGAAAAGATGTCGCTGCAGGAGTTCGAAAATTTCATCGATGGCCCAAACAGCCCTGCTGGGGGCGCGCTCATCAACAAGGCTTTCAGGGTCCTCCCCTCTGGGCTCACGCCCCCATCCGCGTGGCCAACGCTGCCCAAGACTCCCGCCAAGTCAACGGGCAGCTTTTTCTGGGTGCACCACTCCTTTGTGGACCAGAATGCGCACAAGTCCTTCTGGGAGTTCGCTGACCAGGCCAACTGGGCCGACCTCGCCGCTAAGAATCGCGCCAACGGCGTCCACAACCATTGCTTCCTCCCGACCGGCACCTCGCACAAGGCCCCGACCGGCACCCCACAGCGACCGCTCGCGCGTCGGCCGACGCCCGTCTCTTCATGCCACAGGACGATATATTCTGCATCTGGGAAGCCTCCCAACCCTTGAGCGCCGAAGAGTTCCAATCCTTCATCGACGGCCCCGACGGCCCGGCGCCGGGCGTGTTCATCAATCGGGTGTTCCCGGTGATTGAGGGTGGCATCACGCCATCGACCGCCTTCCCGGCCTCGGGGCTGAACGCAATCATGGCCAAGATTGAGGCATGCCCCACCCACCCCACGCCTCGCAGGAGCGGGCGCCATTCGGTGCGGCGCCTCTCACACGTCTCCTGTATGGTGTGGCATAGGAGCTGCTTCCGCTCAAACTGGACGAGATGGTCTCCAAGGCCAAGGGCGCCTTCAACAAGGAGGCGTGAACCCTCCGCTGGCGCGCGGTGGCGGTCTACGTCTAGAGGCTCTCTAGCGGCGCGCGTAGCGGGTACTAGTAGCGCTACGAGACTCGTGTGACAGTCTGGGGACACACCCCGCAAAAAACCAAATTTCCCCGAGAACGTACGCACTCTCGTTGGACACTGACTCTACGTAGTAACTGGGCATTATTTTGCACAAGGTCGTTCGGAGAGCTCGAGGCCGGCGGTGCCTGGCCCACAGAGAGGCTAGGGTGGGGGGGGGGGGCATGTTCGGGAGGGGGTGTGCACACAACAAATGTACATCGAGCCGACGGAAGTCAAGATTGTCTCGTCGCGAATGGCTGCACCCGCCGGGGGCCCGGGTGCGCAGGCGAGCTCGGGTCTGCGGAGCGAGACACGGAGGGAGACGTGGTGGGAGACGCCCTAGGCGTTGTGGGCGGCTTGACCATCTTGCCACCGCGCACGGCGGAGAGGGCGAGCGCGTAGACGAGCTTGCAGACGAGGGCGAAGAGGAGGATGTAGAGCATGCAGAGCGCGACGGTATTCTCCGAAGTGAAGCACGAGTAGTTTGCGGCGAAGCTGTCGAGGATCTCCTCCCCCGTCTCGCCGTAGCAGGACGTGGGCGGGGCATCCGGGCAGAAGAAGCCCTGCGAACACTCGCCCTCGCCGGTCGCGTTGAAGACACACCGCTCAGTCCCGCCGTAGGTATGGTCGCCCATCGCCCAGAGGATGTAGGTGGACCCCTGGATCTGCCAGCGCAGAGGAAGAGCGTACGCCAAGATGCGGATCGGCCAGATGATGTCCTCGGGCGGCATCATGAAGCCGTTCATGAGCAGGCCCAGGAACCACGCCTGGAGAGGGAGGAGGGAGGCGGTCCGAGGCGCGGGCGGGGTTGAGGAGGGAAGAAGGCGCCGTCCTCGCGCGGGGCGCCTGAATGAAGAAGAGCAGGCCTAGGACCGGCGACGAGGCGAGCGAGCAGACCTGCGCCAGGCAGTCGAAGGCGGCGAGCGTAAACGCAAAGATGACGCACTGCAGACCGAGGGTCTCCCACGGCCAGTCCGCGACCGCGTAGACGGGAACCAAGTTGGCAAAGGCGAGCACAAACATCATCGGCGCCTGGTCACAGGGGGGAGGGCGTGGAGCGACGCGGCCCGCCTCTGGGTGTGAAGCGCGCGACCGCCATTGGCGCCTGCAGCAGCGTCTGCGCGGCGACGTACACGGCCGGGTGGTAGATGCCGTCCCGCAGCTCGCGCCGGAGGATCTGGAGGTCGAGGAACTGGGCGAGGAGGGGGAGCAGCCCGAGGGCGGGCGCGATGTTCGAGATCCACCACTGTTCACATCGAGATGGGGTGTGAAGAGACGCTGTTCACCGCCCCCGCTGCGGGGAACGCGCCCATCGTCGGCGCCTCGAGGAACAGCCGAGGAAAGAGCTGCTCCTGCGAGTCGCGCCTCCGCGTGTCGATGTAGATGATCGAGAGGGAGAGCGAGATGACGACGAAGATGACGCACCGCGCGATGTACATGATCGGGTCGCGCAGCAGGAGCCGGCCGTGCTTGTGCAGTAGCACGGCGAACTGCGTCGCCACGCCCGCGCCCGCCGGCTGCTGCTCGCTGCCGCAGTCGGCCTCCTCCGTCTGTGGCGGAGGCTGCTTCGAGCTCCACTGCGCGATGGTCTCCTCGACCAGGCTCGCGTCGGTGAAGTCCGCGTTTGCGATCGCCAGCATGTGGTCGGCCGGGTTGGTGTTGGCGGGGACGGGCTGGCCAATCGAGGCGAGGTAGCCGACCAGCTCGCTCGCCGGCCCGCAGTACGCCGCCCGCCCGCCCGACAGGATGAGCGTCTTGTCGAAGCCGGCAAAGACGGCCGACGAGGGCTGGTGGATCGTGCAGAGGATCGCGGCGTTGACGCGGCGCGCGACGCTCTTGAGCAGCGCCATGACGGCGGCGGCGCCGGCGGCGTCGAGTCCGGAGGTGGGCTCGTCGAGGAAGACGAGGAGCGGCTCCTTGGCCAGCGCCAGCGCCAGCGAGAGCCGCCGCCGCTGCCCGCCCGACAGGCCGCGCACCAGCGCGTTGCCGGCGCGCGTGTGCTGGCACGACTCGAGCCCGAGGGCGCCGAGCAGCTCGTCGACGGCGGCGGCGCGCTCGGCCGAGCGCAGCGCCGGCCGCGAGAGGCGCACCGCGTACTCGAGCTGCTCGCGCGCGGTGAGGAAGGCCCAGAGCGAGTCGCCCTGCTCCATGAAGGTTGCGTAGCGCGTGTAGAGCAACGGCGTGAAGGGCTTCCCATTGAAGGCCACGTGCCCCGTCCGGGCGCCGGGCCCCTTTTCGAGCGCGAGCATGCGCAGCAGCGTCGTCTTGCCCGCGCCGCTCGGGCCCATCACGGCGAGGACCTCGCCCGACGACACCGACGCAGAGACGTCGCGCAGCAGGTAGCGGGTCTCGCTCTTGCGCGCGCAGCTGCCCCCTCCCGCCGGCCGAACCTGGATGGCGAAGGAGCAATCGGAGAAGGCGAAGCGAAGGCCGCGGCCAGCGGCCGCCAGCAGCGGCGACGGCGGCGCGACGACGTCGTTGACGGTGAGGAGCGTCTGCCGCTGCGGGCCGTCGAGCGGGGGCAGTGCCGCGGGAGGCCGGCGCGGGACGGCGCGGAGGCGGAGGAGGGAGGCGAGGCGGAGGAGGTAGAGCGCCTTGAAGGCGGCGGCGATGGCGACGAGGTAGCCCAGGTCGGCGGCGAGCGTGTTTTCGCTCGTGAGGATGCGGTAGACCGACCCGATCGAGTCGAGGATCCGAGGGCCGACGTCGCCCCAGCACTCCACGGCGGGCAGGCCGGGGCAGAAGAAGCCGGTGCCTGGCGAGCCGCGGACGGCGTCCGAGAAGCAACCGGGCAGGCCGGGGTCGCACGGGGCCGTGCCGGAGAAGCCGTCCGAGCCGTCGACGCCCCAGTCGTGGAAGAGGGCCCAGAAGAAGGAGCGGGTGCCCCAGCCGAAGGGGAGGATGTACGTGAAGACGCGGAGCGGCCAGATGACGTCCTCGCGGGTGACAAAGATGCCCGAGAAGATGAAGGAGGTGAACCAGATGTTTTGGAAGTTGAGCAGCCCGAAGAGCACCTTGCCGTCGAGCGAGAAGAGCTGCGCCGCCATCTCGAACGCGACGAGGAAGGTGCCGAACACGAGCCACACCGTCGGGAGGCTCTCCCACGGCCAAGCCGCGACGGCGTAGAGCGGCACGAGCCCGCAGATGGCCACGAGGAACATCATCGGCACCTGCGCCACGGGTACGAAGGGCTGTGTGGAGCGGGCGCGGCCCCCGCCAGAGGGCGAGAAGAGCGCACCTGGTAGACGGCGGTCGCCATGCCGTAGGCGAGCTGGCCGTACATGCCGTCCGTCACCTGCGGGAGGCGTCGCGGCCAAGTCACGCGCAAGGCAAGTGCGGGGCGAGTGCAGGGCGTCGCGCGGGCTTGAGGCGCGCCTCGCGCCGGACAATCTGCGCCTCGGCGTGGCCGACGAAGACGGCGGCGAGGCCGAGGATGGCGCAGGAGCCCATCGCGAAGGAGCCGAGGAAGACGTGCTGCAGCACGTACCTGCAGCGGGGGGAGGTGGGGGGCGAGGTGGGCGCCATCACGCTGCGGGGAGGTGGGCGCCATCATGCGGCGCGGCCGTGGGGGCCTCTGAGATCGGGGGGCAGAGGTGTGTCCGGCGGTGGCAGCGGCGCACTCTTGCGACTTTGTGCGCTGGTAGACGAAGAGCACGCAGAGGAAGAGCGTGAAGAAGAAGGCGCCGCACAGCCGCGCCAGGTAGAGCAGCGGGTCCTGGTTGGGGGGGAGGAGAGGGAGGTCTGTCGGGCGGCCGTGAGTGAGCCACGGGGAGGGGACCACTGAGGGCGGAGGCGGCGACAGCTGTCGTGTGGGCAGCGGAAGCTTCTCGGACGGTTCTCAACATGCGTCGGGGTGCGCCTTGTACGCGATGCGGCCGTGCTTGCCCACGAGGACGAGCAGCTCCGTGCAGAAGCTCTTCTGCGGGGCGGGCGGCAGCGGCAGCAGCGCGACGCTCCCCTCCTCCTCCTCCTGCGGCCCTCTTCCCTCCCACGCCGCCAGCACAGCCTCGACCTCGGCCGGCGAGGTGAAGTCCGCGTTTGCGATCGCCAGCATGTGGTCGGCCGGGTTGGTGTTGGCGGGGACGGGCTGGCCAATCGAGGCGAGGTAGCCGACCAGCTCGCTCGCCGGCCCGCAGTACGCCGCCCGCCCGCCCGACAGGATGAGCGTCTTGTCGAAGCCGGCAAAGACGGCCGACGAGGGCTGGTGGATCGTGCAGAGGATCGCGGCGTTGACGCGGCGCGCGACGCTCTTGAGCAGCGCCATGACGGCGGCGGCGCCGGCGGCGTCGAGTCCGGAGGTGGGCTCGTCTAGGAAGACGAGGAGCGGCTCCTTGGCCAGCGCCAGCGCCAGCGAGAGCCGCCGCCGCTGCCCGCCCGACAGGCCGCGCACCAGCGCGTTGCCGGCGCGCGTGTGCTGGCACGACTCGAGCCCGAGGGCGCCGAGCAGCTCGTCGACGGCGGCGGCGCGCTCGGCCGAGCGCAGCGCCGGCCGCGAGAGGCGCACCGCGTACTCGAGCTGCTCGCGCGCGGTGAGGAAGGCCCAGAGCGAGTCCTCCTGCTCGACCGACGCCGCGTGCGCCGTGTAGACCGTGCGCGTGAACGCGTGGCCGTTGAGAGTCACATTCCCGTACGGAGTGCCGGGTCCCTTTTCGAGCGCGAGCATGCGCAGCAGCGTCGTCTTGCCCGCGCCGCTCGGGCCCATCACGGTGAGGACCTCGCCCGACGAAACCGACGCAGAGACGTCGCGCAGAAGGTAGCGGTCCTTGGTTTTGACGCAGCAAGCGGGCGTGTTTCCCAGGCCCCGTCCATCCGATCGCACTTTCACGCGGTAGGAGCAGTTTTTGAACTCGAAGCGCACCGGTTTGGCAGGGGCGTCGACCACCATCCTTTTCTTGGGCTGAGGGTGCGGCGCAATCAGCTGGGCGCAATACTGTCCCGTTTTGCTGTTCACAGCTAGGGACGGCCTCTGCGGCAAAGTCAAAAACGTCGGCTCGCGAGGTGGGGTGCTAGTATGAGCCCGACCCAGGTCGTAGTGTTCTTGCTCCCAGCGCTTGCGCTTCGGCGGTTAGTGGTGCACTAACCTCCGAGAAACCCTTCGGGTCGCTCCTCATCGCAAACCCTGTCAGCAGAGTCTCCTACGGGAATGTACGTAAGAGCTACATACACTGAGAGAGAGAGAGAGAGAACACGACCCCTCTCTTTTCTCCCAGGAAGCTAAAAGTACGTACACTGAAAAACACGCGCACCTACCTACACCGCGGCTAACTGACCGCCCTGCGGCCCCTGTGCAGGCCCAGGCGTACCACAGGCGTCGCTCAAAAAGCGACGCCGGGTGTGGGCTGCTCCCTTGACCCGTCACCCGCCGCGCCCTCGCCCGGCCGCATCACCGCTCACGGAGCGTGCTCGCCGCCGCCGCCGCGCGTCCCGCGCCGCCACGCATGCCCCTTGCCCTGACGCGCGCTCTGTGCAGCGGCGCAGAGCGCGCGTCCCTGGCACAGACGGAGCAGCGGCCGCGCCAGCGGTCGCTGCTCCGCCCCCCCTCGCGCGCGCCGCGCGCGCGCTGCCGCCGCCGCCGCCGCCGCCGCCCCCTCCTCGCCGTCTTCCCCACCCTACCCTCTGTTGCGCGCGCCGCGCAGCCGCGCTGCGCGCCCCCGCCCCCGCCCCCGCCCCCGCTCCCAAGCGCCCCTTCCCCGGTAGGTGTGCGTAGAAAGTAGAACCAATCGAGAGGGGCAGAAGCCGCCGTGTGTGACACATATTGCGGCACGTGAGAGTGAGACAGAGCCCCGGCAGCGGCCAGCGCCCAGCGCGCGCGCGCAGCGGCCACAGCGCAACAGGCGTTTCAAACAGCAAACGGGACGGCCTGCGCAGCCTCTAACTATGGACTTCACGTAAGCGCTGACCAGGCTTCGGTTGCGTAGCGAGCTTTGTGTTTTCGCTGAGAAGCGACGTAGCTTTGAATACCCTTGACCGTCCCAAAAGACCTACAACAACAACTCTCAAAGACCTAGCAAAAGACTTAGACAGAGATTTTTAGCAATACCTTCAATACCAAACAACTCTAACACTCACACGTCATTTGGGGCCTGGAGCCCCTGCAGACTGAAGTGCCCTGTTCACGCGCGCGCGAGTCGTGCAGACAGGGTTGCCAGGTGAGAGCGAATGGCGCGGTTCACGCCTCGCACAACAGAGAGAGAGATGCGCTCGGTGTGGAAAGAGGCTCACCCGGGAGAAAAAGAAAAAATACGCGCACTGGACCAGCTGGTTGGACTGCACCGCTCCGTGGCTGTCCCCCGCAGCTGGACAGCTCCTCGGCGCATTTGGAATGACTTGCGGTCTCACGCTGCTGCCGCTGCTCCTGGGCAAGACAACCGCTCGGCCGGACTTGGTCGAGGCGATTGGTGAGATGCAGCGCGAGCTCGACCACTTGCGCAGCGAGAAGAAGCTCTGGGAGCAGTGGCGGCTGGGTGGGCAGGCTTCGCCGCAGCGGCTGGGCGATCAGCCGTCGCCGTCGCCGCTAGAGCCGGCTCGCTCGTGCATCGCTCCAGCCGGGCTCGACAACTTTGCCAGAGGCTGCGGGCGACCATCGCCACAGCCACGCAAAACCTTCGCCCCAGCCGGTTGGATGAAAGTGACTCTTCACGTCGTCAACTGCAAAGAGGACGTCGACTGGCTCCCACCCTGCGATTTTCTCTCGGGCCTGCGCATTCGGGTGGTCCACAAATGCGGCATGCAGAAATTGACGACGAGGCCGGAGCACGCCCTGTGCATGGAGCACGTGCAGTCCGATCGCCCGACCGTGGGGCGTGAGAGCGAGGGATTCCTCGGCGAGCTCGCAAAGATTGACGCCTCATCACCGACCGATCTTCACGTCTTCATGCAGGCCGACCCGGGGGAGTTCAAGCTCAGCCCGTGGAGGAGCCACATCAGGAACCCGCTAAGCTTCAAGGACGCGCTTCGCAAGCTGGCTTCACGCGCTGACCTTGGCTTCGTGTCGCTGAGCAGCGAGCTGGGCATCGTACACGACGTCTGCGCCGGTGCTGGGCGAGCAAACGGTAAGCACGTCCTCGCCCTGGGTCGGAAGACGGGCGCCATCCGACTCAACTGCGCCCGAGACTACGTCTTCCCAAAGCGCGGCTGCTTCGCAGTCTCCGCCCGCCGCATCCACGCCACCCCACAAGAGCAGTGGGCTGCCTACTACCGCACCTTTGCCGAGCATCACGCGCCTGTGGTGCTGCGCGGCCGAACATACGAAGGCGTGGACGGGCTCGAGCGAGTCTGGCCCTTGCTTTTCGGCTGCTACAACTCGACCGCGGCGGGACCGCACCCCGCGCACGGCACGCTCGAATGCTATGACGCTGAGTGAGAGTGACAAGTTGGAGCGGAATGCTTCTGAAAAGCTGTCCCTGAAGCGGCGCCACATCGCCGGCAACTGCTACGACTTTCTCGACGACCAGACCGGACTCCGGCTCAATCTGTCCGCCCTGCCCTCTCCCCGCCTCCGTCCCTCCGCCTCCCCACCTCCGCCCGCCTCCCCACCTCAGCCAGCCTGCCCCTGCTCTGAGCAGGTACGGCCCGCACAACTTCCACACCAAGCTGACAAACGTCTGGGACTACGTGAAGCGGTTCGGCCGCTGGGCGCACTACTACCACAAGAAGCTGGCCTGGTCCGAGGGCCGGTTTGTCCCCTTCCCGCTCAACACCGAGACGCTCAACACGATCTACGACCAGCACCTCATGGGCGAGAATGAGACGGCGGCCTTCCTCGCAAAGATCGCAGAGCCGTGCGGCCCGGGAGGGTGCTCAAACTCGGAGCAGCAGTCGGTGGCGAGCGTCGGCAGGGCGGCGTACAACCAATTCTACCGCGGCTACACGCTTAAGCAGTGGGGCGTCGACCCGTCGCAGCTCGACGCGCTCGTGACGGGGAGGATCTCGGTTCGCAGCGACTTCGACAACCGCTACTTCACCGACCGCTACCAGAGCCAGCCGAGGGACGGGTACACACGGTGGATGGCGGGCGTCTTGAGCGACCCTCTCATCGACCTCGTGCTGGGCGTTGACTGGTTCGACGTGCAGCAGCGCCTCGCCGGCCGGTGCGGCAAGCTCATTTTCACCGGCCCGATCGACCACTACTTCGCCGACTCGGGCCTGCCAAAGCTGACGTACCGCTCGCTCCGCTTCGAGAAGCTGGCCGTGCTCAACATCGGAGAGCACGGGTACTACCAGCCGGGCAGACTAAGTCGAGCGCGTCAGAGAGGTGTTTCGACACCGAGTGTTTTGAACGCCGTTCTCGGAAGAAATAGGCACGTCCGTCAACTATCCCGAGATGGCCGTCCCCTTCACTCGCTCGACTGAGTACGAGCTCTGCCCCGTGGGACGGCCAACTTATTTAGACGATGACTACTCGCTCATTCATTCACAGGTACAAGCACTACCCCGGCCAGCCGCGCAGCAACCACACCGTCGTGGCGCGCGGAGACGAGCGGTCTTTGGTCGCACCGAGCTGTGAATAGCGCCTCTCGACAGGCGCAAAGCTGTGGACAGGTGCGCGAGACGAGCGGCGCGGACGGCGAGCCGTACTACCCGGTGCCGAACCCGCGCAACCACGCGCTGTACGCAAAGTACAAGGCGCGCGTGTCCCCCCCCCCCCCCTTCTCCCTCCCCCGAGACGACTCAAAGGGGCCGAGACTCTCTCCTCCGGCTCTACCTTGAGATTGCTCCGAGATCAGGCGCTCGCGGACAAGGAGGCGCTCAAGGGCGTGCACTTCGTGGGCCGGCTGGCAAACTATAAGTACTTCAACATGGACCAGGCGGCCATCTCGAGACAAGCCACACTCGAGACCGCGCGAGACCACCGAGATTACCACCCGAGATCACCCGAGAGCAGTGCCCGAGAGTGCCCGAGCAGGCGATCGACAACGCGCTCAGGATCTTCGACGGCCTCGACCGGGACAGCGCGCCCGGCCGGCTCCTGGTCAAGAAGAGGAAGAAGGAGCACAAGGGGGGCGCACACGAAGACGCGCTGCATTTCGACTGACCAGTGCAGACTCTGCGTCGACTCAAAGGCGGTCTGGGTTAGGAAATCGTCTGAGTCCCGATGTCGCGAAAGTCTAGTCCTAGACGCGAGGCGTAATTCCCGGACTGTCGACTGAGTCGAATATCGACGTCCCCCACGCTTACAAGTCGCAATGTCAAAATTTTCTCATCGGTTCAGACATAGATAGATGCACATGCAGCTCGCAGGTCCGCCAGCTCCGACCTCCGTTGCAGCTTGCAGACAACAAAAACAGTCAAGCTCTGGACGCCCCTCCTCAAGACCTCGACGGGCGTTGGCAACGCCTCGAGTGGCGGCACGCCCGCCTCCGTTGGCCACTCCTACGCATTCGGCAGCATCTCTCTCTCTCTCTCTCTCTCTCTCTCTCTCTCTCTCTCTCTCTCTCTCTCTCTCTCTCTCTCTCTCTCTCTCTCTCTCCCCCCCCCGTTACAGCCAGCTGGATGGGGTGGAACTCGGCCATAGATCTTTTGCAATCGCCCTTGTCGCAAAGGTAGTTCGCCGATCAAGATGAAGAAAGAAACCGAGAGCGATATGCCATGTCCGCCTTGCGTGTTTTCATAACATCGAAGGCTAAGCTCAGAAAGAAAGAACAATACAACAAAGCCCTCGCAAAACAGACTCCGCGCGGATGCGACAACACGCCGCCACCCACGAGCCACCACCCAGTTGAGCCACGCCGACTTCGCACTGCCGACGCAAGTCGGAGGCCTATTTCAACATGCTCGCCACTTGGAATGCTACCCTCGTTCTCAACCTTTCCCAGCCCACGCTGCCAATCCTCACTCCAACCGGCATGTTCGGCTCATTCTTCGAGGACTTCCTCCACGCTGCTGACGGCGGCATTTACGCTGAGAAATTATCCAACCGCGCACTCGGGTTCGGCCTCGCCGACACAGCAAGCGACGAGGGCTGGTACAGCGCTGGTGGCGACGTGACACGAGACGACTCTATGCCTTTGAACGTTGCAGTGCCTCACGCGCTGTGGTTGCGTCCAAGCGACGGTTCCGACGCGGTCGCGATCAACAATGGATTTCTGGCGGGTGGCTTTGCTGCGCAAAAGGGCGAGAAGCTGCGTCTCTCGCTCTGGGCAACAACACGCGGCTTTGAAAGCCACAACGGCTCGCTCACAGCGACGCTGCTTGACGGCGGCGCACCAATCGGCAGCGTAGAGCTGCTGTGCGCAGGCAAGGCGCTGCCCCGCTGGCAGCAGCTCACTGCGACACTTGTCGCGAGCGAGGCGTGCGAGAGCTGCCGTTTGCGTCTCGTAGCGAGTGCCAGCGGCAGGTGCCGCGTCGGGGCGACAGTGATCTCGCTCTTCCCGCAGCAGACCTTTCTCGGCCGATCAAACGGGCTGCGCACCGACGTGGCAGATTGGCGCGCATGCCACGCCCGCGCCTCCACGCCACCGATGCCCGCTGCGTCACGCCCTCACACGCCACGCCTACGCCTTCTCCCAGGGTCAGCGAGTCACGGCCGGCCGTCCTTCGCACGCCTGGCGGCTGCTACGTCGAGGGGGATAAGCTCGCGAACGGCTGGGTGTGGAAGAGGACGCTGGGCCCGATCGAGACCCGCCCCGGCCACTACAACGACGTTTGGCGCTACTGGACTGACGATGGGATCGGCATGGCCTGTCTCCTGTCTTCACACCCTTTCTGCGCTATATGCTACCCTTTCTATCTTCACAGGCATGTTCGAGCTCCTCCAGATGGCGGACGACGTCGGCGCAAAGCCGCTGCTCGTCGTGAATGCCGGCTGCTCAAAGAGAGGGCGCGCAGACGCTGGCCACCTCGGGCATGTCCTTGCCACGTCCATTCCACGTCCATATGGCATGTCTGGCAGGTGTGTAAGCGGCGTGGAGCAGCTCGCGCCCTATGTGCGAGACGCGCTCGACGCGATCGAGTACGCGAGCGGCGAGCTCGACGCCCCCCACCATATGACACGTCCATGACACGTTCATGACGCGTCTCGAAGGTACGCGAGCGGCGCGAGCTCAACGCCGTGGGGCGCGCGGCGCGCGGCGGCGGGGCGCACCGCACCATACGAGCTGCACGCGCTCGGCATTGGCAACGAAAATTGCAGGCCTCACGACGAGAACGGGTACGCGGCCAACTTTGTGGCGATCGCGAGCGCGGTGCGTGCGCGCCACCCGGCGCTCCCGCTCGTGGTTGGCTGCGAAACGCAGGTGCGGGCCTTGCTAACAGATGCACTGAATTGCGTTGTGGCTCCTGCCCCTTCGCTTGTGAGGACACAGATGCGCACCCTCGCCCCACACCACGTGGAGAGAGGCTAGCCTTGCCTTACCGCAGGCGCAGCTCGACGCAGTGCTCAAGGCGGAGCCGTCGATTGCCACGCTCGCCAGCCTAGATTGCGGAAGACGCGCGCCCCTGTCAGCAGGCTCCACCCCATGCTGCTACAGTTGTTATCCACCAATGCGCGCGTATGCCGCTTAAACTCCACACTGTGCAGGCTCGCCAACTTCTTCGACGTGCACCAGCGCCACGACCCGACAGCCATGCTGCAGCACGCGCACGAGTTTGACGCTTATCCACGCTCGGGCCAGCCGAAAGTCTTTGTCTCCGAGTACTCGTCGCCGCGAAAGCTCTTCCCAAACTCGACCACTCTCGGTGCGGCGGTGGCAGAGGCGGCCTACATGGCCGGCATCGAGGCGAACGGCGACGTCGTCGCGCTCGCGACGTACGGCGACTTGCTGGCCAAGATCAGCCGAGATTAGCCGAGATTAGCCGAGATCGTGGTCTCGTACGGAGATCTTGGCACAGCTCGAATTTGCCGCCTCTCGCCGCCCCTGCCTTCCCTCACCCCACCTCGCTCACCGCCACCACCTCTCTCGCCCAGGCACGTCCGGACGACCGGCACGGCTCGTCGGGTGTGTCGGCCATCTCGATCAGCTCCTCGTCGAGCTTCGGCAACCCAAGCTGGGCGGTGCAGAAGCTCTTCATGGCACACCAGCCCGCAGGACTGCTACGGAGCAGCTTGAGTGTCTCTGGAGCATCGTGCACCGCGTGGGCCAATGGCGGCAGCTGCGTCGGCGATGCCACGCCGAGCACGATGCTTGCCGCGTCGGTCTCCTCCTCGGCCTCCGGTGAGGCGCAGGTCAAGCTCGTCAACTACGGGCCTCAGGCGGTGGCGCTGCGGGTGACGGGCAAAGGCGACGGGCATAGCGGCGTCGGCCTCGCCACTCTCTCGTGGATCTCGGGAGCGGAGGGCGACGTCAACTCGTTCGAGTACCCGCGCCGTGTGGGGGTACGGCGGCGGTCAGTGAGCAGCGCTGCCTCGCTGGAGCTGCCCCCTTGGTCCGTGTCTGTACTCAAGGCGCCGCTGTCGCGCCGTGCCGGGGCTTTTGCCGCCGTTTAGTTAGCGCGTTTGAGCACACTGGTGCAGAGACTCAGCAGATAGTCCGGGGTCGGTCTCTCTCTGTGTCCTCTTTTTCGCCGCGAAGATCGCGCACCAGCCCACCGAGCCCGAGTGCGGACGGTTTTTTTGCGGTATCTTGATGTATCTCTCCATACTCCAATATCTGGCCGTAATCCGTATCTCCCCGTAGTATCTCCCCGTAGTATCTCCCCGTATCTCCCTGCATATCCTCGCATCTCCCCGTATCTGCCCGTATCTCCCCCCGTATCTCGTATCTGCCCGTATCTCGTATCTCCTGGTATCTCCCGGTATCTCGACTCCCGGTATCTCCCGGTATCCCGCCATATCCCGCCATATCACCATGCAGAGCGCATCTCTCTCTCTGTTGTGCGAGGCGTGAACCGCGCCATTCGCTCTCACCTGGCAACCCTGTCTGCACGTCTCGCGCGCGCGTGAACAGGGCGGCCGACCCGGGGGAGTTCAAGCTCAGCCCGTGGAGGAGCCACATCAGGAACCCGCTAAGCTTCAAGGACGCGCTTCGCAAGCTGGCTTCACGCGCTGACCTTGGCTTCGTGTCGCTGAGCAGCGAGCTGGGCATCGTACACGACGTCTGCGCCGGTGCTGGGCGAGCAAACGGTAAGCACGTCCTCGCCCTGGGTCGGAAGACGGGCGCCATCCGACTCAACTGCGCCCGAGACTACGTCTTCCCAAAGCGCGGCTGCTTCGCCGTCTCCGCCCGCCGCATCCACGCCACCCCACAAGAGCAGTGGGCTGCCTACTACCGCACCTTTGCCGAGCATCACGCGCCTGTGGTGCTGCGCGGCCGAACATACGAAGGCGTGGACGGGCTCGAGCGAGTCTGGCCCTTGCTTTTCGGCTGCTACAACTCGACCGCGGCGGGACCGCACCCCGCGCACGGCACGCTCGAATGCTATGACGCTGAGTGAGAGTGACAAGTTGGAGCGGAATGCTTCTGAAAAGCTGTCCCTGAAGTATATTTATGCGGCATATATTCTTTAGGGGTCCAAAGATCGTTGCCATTGGCTGTGGGAACGGCGTCTGCTGGCAAAGTAGAGGGTGATGAGTGAAAAAAGGCCGAAACACGGAAGGGATCGCCATGAACGGCGTCTGTTCCCGTAAAAAGATTTTTCCCATGATCGCCGCGCTTCTGAAAAGCTGTCCTGAGAAAAAAGAAGCATGTGAGGGGGTTGGGGTCCAAAGATCGTCTTGGGAACGGCGTGTTGAGTGTTCCGAAAAGGTGCCGGGTGGTTGATGGCAACACTTTCTGCGCTTCTGCCTGCGCTTCTGCTGGGCGCTGTTGCTCGTGACACGCGAATCAGCGACCCTGGGCTGTGCTGGACGGTCCCTTGCCCCTATGACAAGAATCGGTGCCTCCCTCGAGCGACGTCCAAGCAGCGATTCGTCATTAACATCGGGCACCAGACGCGGGAGCTGACGTATCCTATCATCTCGACGAGCTTTGCGGACAATATCGTTCCGGAGATCATCTGGTGGCAGTACGAAGCCTTGCCGCTCACACGCGAACTGCTGGCCTACGCCTTTCCCACTGCGAGGCTGTATTTTGGGACGACCGACGCGCCGCGCTGCCTCAAGAGGAGGTCCTTCCGTCCGCAAGGCACACGCGGCACCTTCACAGCCGCCACCGGCAAAGCGTTCCGCGCCCTCGTCTGGCGCCGGTGCGGCATCTCCTCGCGGCCGCCCTCCGCCCCTCTCCGGGTGCGGATCATCGACCGCCCGCGCGGCGGCGGCGGCTCCAAGAACCCGTGCCGGCTGCCGGGCCCGCACGTGGGAGGACGCAGTCTGTCAAACGCGACCATCGCCGCCCTGCGGTCGCACCTGCCCGCCGCGCTGCGATCTGCCGGGGCTGCAGAGGCTCCCCTCGAGGTGGTTCGGCTGCCGGAGCGGCCCGACTCGCTTTGCGACCAGGTGCACAGTAGAGGAGAGAGCTGAGAGAGAGCCGAGAGAGAGCCGAGAGAGAGCCGAGAAAGAGAGCAGCGAGCGAGCGAGCGAGCGAGGGAGGGAGGGAGGGAGAGAGGAAAAGAGAGAGGAGTCGAGACCATCAACGGCGTGAGGAGACCTCGCACCCAACTCGCAGCACGCGCTCGCACCGTCCATCCGCGCCTTCTGCGCCTGTCCAGGTAAGACGCTACGCCGAGGCGGATGTCCTCATCTCGCCGCACGGGGCCCACCTCGTGCACATCCCGCAGCTGTCTCCCTCGGCCGTCTTCATCGAGGCGGCCGCAGTAGCAGAGACAAGCTTCGCTTCCCGCATGAGGAAACCCCAGTTCATGGCACTCTCAAGCACAAGGGACACGGCTCAATCTCACGCCTTCGGCCGCCGGCCGGCTCATCCTGTCACGCGAGCCGCAAAGCCCCGTGCTCGTAGGTGACGCCGTGGGCCGCCGCCCACCAGCCGGCGTATGCCGCTGTGGCAGCCCGCCTCCGCCTCAAGCGGCTTCAGCTCTGCAGCCTCCGGCCGCGAGACGAGCGGAGCGGACCCGACATGCCCGGGACTCGCCCCCCACGACGCGTCCACGACGCGTCCCGTAGGCCGCCCGACGAGAGGAGCGGGAAGACTGAGGAGCAATGCGGCAGGGAGGGCGGCACCGTGAGGGGGTGCTTGTACGCCGCGATGAACTGTTTCGAGATCGCGGTGGTGCGGGACAAGTCAGACCAAGGCGGCTCGCCCAGCCCAAGCTCCCCATGCACTTTGGACGCCGCGAGGCCCCAGCCTACCTCGGGGCACCCGTGGGGGTGCTGGGGTGCCCATGCAGCTCCCAAACAACAACCGGGCGGAGACGGCTCAGCGCCGTGCTTTGCCGGTTGCCGCAGGCACGTCTCATTGCGCGACAGGGCAGGGCCGCTGCCAGTGCCTCGAGCCGACGCTGCGGCAGGCGGTGGCATTGGCGCAGGAGGGAAGAGGTTCGGCCGCTGCACCGCGGCGTGCGGCGGTTGCCGAGCGGCGCGCGCGTGGGCTTCTCGAGAGCCATACCGCCGCCGCCGCCGCCGAGGCCGTGGGCCGGGCGGCCGCCGCAGCGCCGACGTTCTGCAACCCGATCGATCTGCCGTACCGTTTCCAGCCCACCACGGGGGAGTCGTTCCGCGAAGGGGCGGACCCGACCATGGTGGTATTCGGCGGGCGGTACTTGCTCTTCCTGTCCAAGAATGGCGGGTACTACGCGTCCAACGACCTGGTCCGGTGGTCCCTCATCGTGCCGACTGGCGCTCCCGACCGACGATTTCGCCGCCATGTCCGGGACTCGTCCACGACGTGTCCCCGACACGTCCCGTAGGCCTCCCAGTCGACGACTACGCGCCGACGGTGATGCAGATGGAGGGCCGGCTCTTCTTCACCGCGTCGCACTCGAGAGCGCTGTATACCACCGACGACCCGTTCAAGGGCGAGTGGCGGGAGGTGGCGACCCTGCCCTCGTACGCCGACCCGGCGCTCTTCCTCGACGACGATGGAAGAGTGTACCTGGCGTACGGTTCCCACCAGACTTGGGGCCCGACAGGTGGGGGCAACGCGTCGCACGTCGTCGAGCTCGACCCGGCGCGGGGGTGGAGGGAGGTCTCGCACCACAGCGCGGTGGCGTTCGCCGACGCCGCGCGGAACGGGTGGGAGGTGAGCGGCAACGGCAACGACGACTACAGACTTGCTCCGTATGTGGAGGGTCCGTGGATAACCAAGGTGGGCGACGTATACTTCCTCCAGTATGCCTCGCCCGGCACGCAATTCTTCACGTACAGCGACGGCTTCTTTGTGGCGAAGAGCCTCCGCGACCTAGGCCACAGCCACCACAGCAAGTACTCGGCCGTCTCGCCTTTCTCCGCCAAGCCGACGGGCTTCATGCGAGGCGCGGGGCATGGCAGCATCTTCCGCGGCCTCGACGGCGGATTGTGGCACGTCACCATCGCCGTCATCGCGAGGCACATCCGCCGACTCGTCATCAACCCGGTGCACGTGCAGGGCGAGTGGATGAACGCGGACACGTACCTCGGCGACTTCCCCGTTGGTGTCGACGGCAGGCAAATCTCGCACGCAGTCACACAGACACCGACACATAGAGAATGAGCACCTAAACGTTGGCCATGGAAGGCTCCTGCGCCCCTGCTCGTGCCACCATGGGATGCCGACCTTCCTCCACCTGCCACTAGGCGCCCCGACTGGCAGCTTTTGTCACTCCACAAGCCGGCCACAGCCAGCTCCACTTCCGGCGCCAACGCCCCGTCGCGCGCCTTCGACGAGGACATCCGCACGTGCTGGTCAGCGGAGACCGGCGCTGCGGGGGAGTGGCTGGCGGTGGATTTGGGCGCCAACGCGACAGCCTACGCGGTGCAGCTCAACTTTGCTGAGGCGACGCCTGACACGCTTCGATGCCCCCTTTGCCACCACCGCCCTCTCTCACCGCCGCCGCCTTCCTTCGCCCGCCGCCTCGCAACACACCACCCACCTCCTGGCCCACCAGGTGGGCGCCAAGCAGACGGGACGCCTCCCGCTCCGCGACGCGTGCCGGTACTACTGCGAGGCGTCGGCGGACGGCGTGCGGTGGGCGGTGGTACCCGAACTCGACCGCAGGGAGGGCGGGCGCGACTCGCCGCACGACTACGTCGCGCTCCTCCAGCCGCTGTCGCTGCGCCACCTCCGGGTCACCTCGGCGCACACGCCCGCCGGCGCCGCGTTTGGCCTCTCCGACCTCCGCATATTCGGCACGACCGCCGCCGTCAAGCCGCCGGCGAGGGTCGGCGCGCCGCGAGTGACCCGCGACAGCGCCGACGCACGGCGCGCCAGCGTTGCGTGGGACGCGGCGGCACGGGCGGAGTGGTACGTGGTGCGCTTCGGCGAGCGCGGCGCCCCCGGCCAGTTTCATAGTTACCAGGTGTACGGCGGGGCAACGTCGCTGGAGACGCGCGCGCTGTCCGCTGGAGTCGAGTATGACTTTGTTGTCGACGCCTTCAACGAGGGCGGGCGCACGGTGGGCACCCCAACCGCGCCTCGGCTTGCGCAGCGGCACCCGTGAACTCTGATTTCTTGGTGTTCGCCGCGTGAAATTCCGCCTCGAATCCTAGTAGCGATCTATCTGCGTGCGTGCGTATGAGTGAGCTCACTAGCTAGAGCTCACACACTAGAGGCCCCGTCATCGCATTCGCCTTCGTGGGACCCAGTGTCATTGTGTTTTTGTGTGAACCCTGCGCGCGGGCCTTCTAGGCCCACGTGGGTAGTCCCCATTCCCAGCACCCAGGGCCTCCGGGCGCCAGGGCACAGCTCCACAGGGCTCACACCCCAACCTCTCATAGACGTTAGACCAGCGCGCAGCGCCATAGCACGTGTGTTTCTCAATATAACAGGTGTGTGATCTGTCCGAAATAGCCTCTCCCGAGCGAGGCCGCCGCGGCGCGGTGTCACAGTGCCGTGGAGGCCACACGGCAGGGACTCTAGTGCTGATTATTTTGGATACTTGGAGGGAAATCGCTTCGGAGGAGGAGGGCACGCGCCACACTCGGCAGGCAGCTCGTAGCCTAGACATACGTAGTCTTGCGTGTGCACGTAGCAAAAGTTGCACGCCGTCTCGGGGTCATCAAGCACGGCACGGCGCAGAAGCTGCTGCTCCTCTTCACTCCCGCCGTGCTTGTTATTCTGTGCGCCATGGGGGCTGCTGTCATAAACGTGTAGCACATAGTTCAAGAGGGAGGGGAAGCGAGCCGCCGCGCGCAGCAGATATGGCTTAAAGTTCTCCAAACGGCCGATGAAATCCCAGTGGATAGGCCGGCCGGTGGCATCAGTGGCTTTTTCGGGGGCCTGCCCTGTTGAGCTTTTTCTTTGCTACCCTTCGACGCGCCGCTAGATCCGCTAGCCCCCGAGCAAGAACAAGAGGCTTCCGACTTGATTGAGACGCGCCATGAGCACGGCGGCGACGAGCAGCAGCGCGAGCCTCACCACCTGCGTCACAGCGACCGAGTTCCTGACCGCGCCGGCACATCTCACGCTGAAGCTGCGCACGGCGCGCCGCCGGAGGGTGAGGTTTGCGGAGGATGTGGTGGATAACGAGGCGCGCTTCAGGGCCGCGCGCGCGATCGCGCCATGCCGCGCGCGTAATCGCCCATTCCGCCCGCCCCTTCGGCAGGACCTCGGGCGGAAAAAGTCCAAGTGCTGCTGCCAGTACCACCGGCCAAAGGCGTTTGACGAGAGCTCGGATGAGGAGGGCGACGCCGGCCCGTGCGATCGACCCTGCTCGCCGGCGCAGGCCGAGCCAGAGGGCGGCGGGAGCGATGGCTCTGGCTAAAATCGGCGGCGGCTGTGCAACAGGTCGCTGAGGAGGGCGGAGAAGCCGACGATGACCGCGCCGACCCGCCGACCCGGTCTTGGCACTTGGGTCTACCCGCGCGCCCGCGCCGCATATACGTAAAGTCCCGCATCAAACGCTAAAGATGTCAATCGCTCGGTCTCTTCTTCCTCTATCATTTCCTTCCTCCCATTATCATAGCTGATCAAACACAACTGTGCAACGACCTGACCGCTGACGCGCCGTCTCGAACATGCGGAATTCAGCTGACTCAACCGACAGCTGCCGCCTCGCTTCCGGCCTGCGCGTATGCTCGCCGCGTCGCCGCGGCGCTCGCAGTGAGTTCCGTACGCAGCATGTCCAGGGCGCGGCTGGCGGCGCTGCTGCCGCCCGGGTCCTGCAGGGACCGGAGGGGAGGCCAGTGTGTGGAATGGAGGGAGGCGCTGCCAAAGGAGGTGGGGCAGCAGGCGCTGTGCAGGAGGTGCCGGCGTGGGCCGACGGACCGCACGGGCTTCCAGGCGGGGACGGGGGGGGGAGCGCACCGCAGGCTGCCCCTCCAGCAGCGCGGCGGTCGCCGCAACCCGCCCTGGCCGCGAGGAGCCGCCTGTGCCTCTCACGCGCACCGCGGACGCCTCCGGCCGCGCCACCGCCACAGCCACCGCCGGTTTCGCCGCCGCCGCCGCCGCCGCCGCCGCCGCCGCCTTGCGCTCTTTCCGAATGCCACGGATCACGTCATCCCGCTGCTGCGGCGTGGAGCCCTTCTTGCGTGCGCCGGTGCGGCAGTCCCTACGCCCCCTCCTAGCCCTGCGCGGCGTGGGGTGGCGCGCACAGTAATGCGGTGTGGCAACGTCGTGTGGGGGGGCAGCGTGGCCTCACATGGAGAAGGGGCTCGGGCAGGCTCGCAGCAGCAGCCAAAAGAAATAGCAGAAGTTTATTCGTACGTGCCTTCTGTGTTTTAAAATCCCTGTGTGGTGGCGGCGTGCCGTTCTCCCATCCCTCCCTTGGGTTGTCTGTTTTCTTTCTTTCTTTCTTTTTCTGTGTTTGGGCGTCACATTGAGCCAGAGCCAACTAGCCGTGGCGCGTGCCGCGAGCCAGCGAAAGTTTAGAAATAAATGTGACGTACATGTGTTGTTTGTTCGGGTTGTGTGCGGCGACGGCTAAACCTAAAGAGCATCTGTTCCGGTGGCGGTGCTAGCTACAGCCGTCGAGCAGCGGCGCGTGCCACGCCACCGTCGCCGCCATCCACTCGCTCATTTGCGTCGGCACGAAGCCGAGCTCCTCCTCGGCCCTCGTCGTGTCGAGCACGCCTTGCTTCTCATAGTTGCGCATCTCGGGCGCCTCGGGAACCTCGGGGACCGGTCGGCCGAGCGCCGCCGCCAGCGCGGCGACATAATCGTCGAGGTCGTACCCTTGCGGCCCGCCCGAGGCAACGTTGAAGGCCTCGTACGCCTCGGAAGCACCGCCGTCCTGCCGCTGCGCGGACGCATGTGTCGGCGGCGGCGGGCGGTCGACGACCCGCGCGATGACCTGCGCCACGTCGTCTGCGCACGCGACGCGGAAGCGGCGGCCGGGCCGCTCGGCGGGCGGGCGCGCCTTGGTTTCTGGCAGCGGCGGCAGGCCGAGCACCAGCCGCTGCAGCTTCTCGTGCCTACAGTCGGAGATGTCGGTGGTGTCAAGGAAGTGTCCGGCAGCACCAGAGCCGCTGCAGCTTCTTGTGCCGCGGGTCGCAGCCGGCTCCGACGACGGCAGGCGGGCGCACGACGGTGGAGCGCAGCGGCGGCGCCGCGGCGGCGTAACGGTGAAGCAGCGCCTCGCACTTGAGCTTGTTGCCGCCGTAGTTGCACGGCGCCTCGCTCGCTGAGCCGAGCCGCGCCGACTTCTCCGCGATGCGTCCGTCCGTCGCGGAGACATCCATGCGCTCCACGCCGCCCGGATAAGCCATGTTGGTCGAGACGAAGATGTAGTGCGCCAGCGGCAGCTTCTCATGCGCGCGCCGGACGCTCTGAACTTGCGATGGCTTCATCGCTGTAAAGTCAACGATGACGCGAGGGCAGTCGGGCGAGCACAGCGCAGCGACAAAGGCATCTTCGTCGTCGCGGTCGCACAGCAGCATTTCGGCGCCAGCTGGCGTTGTGGGCCGGCGGCCGTTGGTGCCTTGGCCCTGCGTCTTGCCTCGGCTCATGATGACGACGCGCCGGCCAGCCTCGAGTAGCCGTGCAGCCGTCGGCGCGCCCATGAGACCAGTGCCACCGATGACGAGGACGTCAGAGGTAGCGGCCGCGATGGTCGCGAGCATTTTTGGTCCCAAACGAAGCCTCTCTCACAGCACTGGCACGACAAGGGCCGGGCGCAGACTGGCGGACTGGCACACCAAAGAGAAAGCGAATGCGCAGCTTGGAGGGCCGACCGTTACGGAACCAGGTTCGTTGTGAAGAGCTGGGGCGCGCCACCCAAGAGCCTAGGTAGGTGCGGATCGGCAAGAGCGCAATCGATCTTTTTGCCCTCTATCACCTTGGGTTGTAAGAACTTGAAACACACCACGCAGGGGCACAGCAAGCACGGATAGCCGTTGAGGAGAAAGGGCGTAAGGTGTACGCGCCACCTCCCGCGAGCGCGGCGGGATCGGAATTGCGGCCGGAGGGAAGGGCGAGCCGCCGCCGCCGCCGCCATATACCATCAGCGACGACGGCGGCTCGCCCCAAACGCCAGGCGCTGGATCGGCAGTAGGGCTTGGGCGGCGCAGCGTAGGCCTCGAGCCACACGAGTCGCCGACAACCCCCCCTCATCGACGTGATGGCCGCACCCGCTGCCGGCCGATGCAAGCTGCCGCCTCCACCGCACCAGCGATACTGGCCGCGGCTCGCCGCCACGCGCCGGCTCGGAAGAGGGGCTATCGGCGGCGCAGCAGAGCGGCATGCGTCGTCATTCGAGCAGCACCAGGTCCCCTCTTCGACGTGACGGCCGCTCCCGGAGCCGGCCGGTGCGCGCCCGACCCACGCCCCCTCTCGCACCCCCCCCCGATCCCCCTGCGCGGCGCCCCCTCCACTGCGCGCCGGCTCGAGCGCCTATTGCCAAATCGCGACTTTCGAGCGCAGTGCGTGCGCCCCACACGTCACGCGAGCGCAGGAGAGTTTGCGGCAGAGCAGTACCGTGTACTAGCCGGAGGCATCGCGCCGAAAACCCCGCGCATTCCGCCCCAACAGAGGCTACAGGAGGCAGATGGCCAATAGCGACCATCGTTACGAAATGTAGCGTTACCGGGAGCTCTCCAAGCTGTCTTGGGTGGTAAGCATGCGCGACGCTGCCTCTTTGCGCCGCTCGCTCGCGGCGGCAGGAGACATGGCCGCCGATGCGGCTCGCACTCGCTCGGCGGGCCTCCGTCCCACAGCCGCCCGGGCGTGCCAGGGGTCGGCCTGGCGCTGCGCTGCTCGCACGCTGCACTGCACAAAGCTGCGACAACAAGGGGAGGCTCCTGAGCTTCAGTGTTGAGCAGTGCAGCTGCGGGCGCTCGTGGGCGGCTGTGCAGTGGTAAGAGTGCCTGTTTGGAGGCGAGCTGGCGCTGCGCCAGGGTGCGCAGCATGCTCCCTTGCTCTGTCCTGAGGCATGCTGGTTGGCGCCCAGCACAATGCCCTGGATGCATTGCTCCACGCCGTGCTGGCTGGTGCAGTACTGCCAATGCGCCGACTGGCGCGCAGGGTGCGCGTCGCCGCGCGTGGCACGGGAGGCGCGAGAGGCGCGGCTGTCGGTCAACCCCGCGGCGCATGGGCGCCGCGGAAGCTGCTCGACAGGCTGCGGGCATCGCTGCGGCAAAAAGCGCCCGCCCTCTGCTTTGCTTTCGCCC